CTTTAAATGATTAAACCGAAGGAGTCGTATCATTCTTAGTTGTCGGTGTGAACGGTCAATAAATGCAGCCTGGTTTTGCTGAGGCGCTGTGCGCACGTATCGGATACGATTATCGCTTCGCGTCTGCCCAATCTGTCTTAAAATAGCGCCGACTTAATGCCGCTGGCTTGATCGCAGCAGTAGCGGTGTAGTGGTGGCCAGAAGCCGTATTTAGCAGCCGAGAGAAGCAAGGAAAAGGAAGCGAGCCAGCCAGCCAGCCAGAGCCGGAGAGGAGAGAGAGAGGGAGGAGGAGGAGGAGGGAGGGGACGGAGGGAGGAGCAGGAGGAGGAGGAGGAAGAGCGAGAGAAGAGAGAGCAGATGCCAGAGAGGGCTAGAGGAGTGTATTGGTTTGTGTTTATGTTTTTTGATGTTGATGTGGGCAGGAAGGGGGTGGTGGTGGTATGGGGGGGGGGAGGAGGAGTAGGGTCGCCATTGTCTAGGCCTGGCCAAAGATACCTGGTGGCTAAAATCTAATGTCGCAAACCAGTATGCTCCGCACAGGCCGACGTCAATGTAAATCGTCCATGCCTAGGTCAAGGGGAACGCATCCTTTCGAACTACAGCGGTGTTACTCCTTGCGGTACGTCGATACAAAATCGTGAACGCTTCATTCGCGTCTTGGCCTACTAACTACAGACCTGCGTGCAAGCCCAAGCCCTGCTTCCTGGTTTCGCGATGAACATCCCTGTCGCGACCATGTCGCGCTATGGCTCCGTTTATCCATATCCGCTCCTGCCGGGCCTGATACGGAACTCGACGCGGGTCGGGCTGCTCTTATTCGGTCGCGCGCATCACCTTTACATTTATCTGTATGCTTCACGATATTTCGTCCTCCCGAGACCATCTCCGCGTTCGCGCGCAATACTATCTAAAAAATGATTAGCTATGTAGTGTCTCAGGCCACTTGTACTTCGCCTGCGCCCTCCGGCCGTCGCTCAGTTTTTTATGCGTACCCTTATCCCAGCAGATTCTGGTAGTGTGCGTCGCTAATTAGATCGCGGGGCCCATGCCGCTTCAGGGAACGCTCTGAACCAACGGCGTGTCCCTGCTCATGAGCTGTCGTCACGTTTCTCCTCCGACTGGCGTTGAGTCTCCCACGTGCGTGAATCCATCATGACAATGCAGGGTAGGAATTCTCCCCTGCTCATGGGTGAGCGATATAAAACGAGAAACAAATGCGCGGCGGTGGTTTTTAACCTTCTTTTCAGTTAGCCCTCCCTTGGGAACACCGTCTGCTCCATCCGAATCCCTTGTGTCGTCCAGCAGGTTGCTGAAATTCTGGAGATAGGGCATGTAGGCTTTACCTGTCCTTCCCTCTTTGTATATCTTATCGCTCTGCATAAGTCCATCAGGCGATTCTGTCTATCTTTTCCCTGCAGCCTTCATGCATTCGTCGTGCTCATACCACGTATATATATATATACGCATTCAAATGCACATCCACATGCAAGCAGGCGTATTAGTTGGGCTGATATAAATTGCTTGAACGCTTTTATTTTTACGAATGCAACAAGTTTGCATAATCTCTACAATAAACCCAGTATTCGATGACAGCATATAAAATGCCGTAATATTAGCGAATGTGACTTATATAGGTCTATACCTTAACAACGTATGTAGGCGCTATTGATATAATGATAATTATGTTCAAGATAAGAACTTTCTATTCATTTAGGTCCTCATCTTAAAATGTAATTTGTATGATGACTATTTAGCAATGTACATCTTGCACGAGTATCCTCAGTTTTAAGAAAAGGATACTAATTGGATTAAGTGAGTAGATAAGCTGTTTTGTGGCTAAATTGGTCTGCTGCCACATCAATGAATATATAATGTTCCTGGGTAGTATTTATATAAGCTGCCCTTGACGAGAAAATAGTCTCGAATACTGATTTATAGCGTGAAAGATTATAATTATATTCATTGTCTCGGGAAAGTTGTGTCTATTTTGAAAGAATGATCCATTTGAACAGGTAATGATTCCAGATGAAACCATTTTACTGATTTGATAACCATAATTATTAGAAAGCAGCAGGGGCGCATCTGGGATTTTTAATGGCGGTATACATGTCTCTATAAAATCTTTCAGTGTTTCAATTAAAAGTAGTAGGTAGCGGAAACGGAGGGACGCGAAACCGAGGGTAAACGTTGAATGGTGGACCACTGTTTCAGATATCGCAAACTCTTCTCTGAATAGCAATTGGCAAGTGAATAAATTTCGCCCAAATAACGCATCTTCCCCAGAACATTTCAATGCGTGCTCTCGGTTTGTTATGGATATAAGGGAGGGGCTATAGACTGCATGCGTCTATAATGGTTTCAATATCGGACGTTCCCTGCGTTTGTTCGCCGCAGGTATCGTAGTTGATGGGTCGCGCGTGTGACATGCGCCAATTGTGTTGTGTCAAAGGTGGCTTTGCCCCTGCCTAACATCTGTTAATACAAACCACATTTTGTTACATTTGTTTTAAAAAAGAGGGGACACACTCAGGAATAGGTTTCTATACAAAAATTGAAAAGCATTGCCTCGTTACTACAATATGAGGCGGAGCCCAAATACCCGCAACGCTGAATGAAACTATGTAATTTTGTGTTGCCGTTGGTCGTCGCTAGTGTCGCGCATTAGAAATAATGCATGACGGATACTAAACGAAATAATATATTCATAAATAACTTTTATTGAAATTATACACATTCAATAAGCCATAGTCAAGAGATCCATATATACAGAATGAAAACATTGATACCAATAACTTACGTCGCTAATTATAAGGCGACAAATCTTCCAAACCTCTTTAAAACGTACGATGAACTAGGGCGTCAGATGTGTCTGTGCGCATGCCTACTATTTGATTATAGATATCCCATTTTGTTGAAATTACGTATTTAAAAATGAGAAGATGTGCTCAATAATATTTTTCTATCAAAAGTGTTAAATGCGTTGCCTTTCTCATATAATAAGTGAGAGCCGAATCTTCTCAACATATACCGATTCCGTACGTTTTGAATTTCTTTGCCTTTGGTCGGCGCTAGTGCCCTGCATGAGTGACTAGTGGATACTAAACGATATAAATTCATATACGTAATTTCAAATTTGTGTGAAATTATGCAGCCCTAGTGAGCAGATGCATCAGAAGTAGTTAGATATGAAAAATGTCGAGCCAAATGACCGATCGCTTCTGTTATTATTTAAGTCTTTCATATCTCCTTACACCGTGTAATAGATGATAGAGTCAACTGTCTCTGCGCTTACCTACTATAATATGCTAAAAAAAAATCTCGTTTTGTTTAAATTATGTATTTAAAAAAGAGAGGGCATAATGGGGAATAAGTTTCTATAAAAATGTGAGACGCACTTCCTTCCTTAATATATATAAGAGGAACTCTAATCCTCACAAAATCCCGATTTCCCACAACGACGAATAAAATTACGTACATTTTTCGTAACCAATAGTCGGCGCTAGTGTCACGCATGGGAAGTAGTTTGTGATGCTAAACGAAATATATTCATGTTAATGTCATAACTAGCTCATTTTGTCAAGGGTCCGATTTACGTCCTGGACGTGCAGTTGATGATGGCCATGTTGCCGTTGCCGTTGCCGTTGCTAAGGCCCGTGGACACGTGCATGCTCTTCTGCCTACCTCTAGCTATACCTCTAGCTATGGCCGTGTGTGTGCGCGCATGCGTGTTTGCGTGCTTGCGTGCGTATGTTTGTGTGCGCGCGTGTGTATTTATTTGATTTATTTATTCATACGCATACGCACATACACATACATATACACTTTTACAATACACATTTATTTTTAACATATATCCTCTAATATGTATATTTATATAAGTGACAAATAGTGTTTCTATACAAAACAGACTAATTACATCGCTCTGTTTTTTCGTATCTCCAAATAAAGACATTAATTATTATTTAACGGTAAAGAACGAATTTAGACATGTATGCAGCGAAGGCCTGGGCCGGCTCTAAGGGATGTAGGTCCACTGCACAATCCCATATAGGTTCAACGTGCTTAGCACACGATGTCATTAAGCTATAAAGTTAGCGAACGAGGCATTAGGCATCTAAATAAAGATGACTGCCCAACTGTTATTTAGTTTTATTCATGATAATTCATGGTGAGCATCATGACATAAACTAGCTATTTATCTACCGTCGGTATCATGTGATCAGCAGTACGTTATTTAACGTTATGTATTCTGTTATAATCAAACGTCAATGTCATCGTTAGCAGAATACATGTTTTGAGTTGACCACCAGTTTGTATCCGTGTGTTCGTTCACGGCTACGTCCAAGGTCTGATAACTCGGCGACCGACGACACAGTTGCTGATTCGCTTCTAACGGTGTTTCTCCCTCGTATCGGTTAGTCATTCCCTCGACATATCCCGAATCTCTCTGCGCATACACGCTTGGATTACTGTCAGCAGTTTTGTGAAGGCTGCCATCAGTGGCATCGGGGCGTCTGCGTGTTTCGTCAGCCTCGCTAGAGGCGCCACTGTACGTATGCTCTTTCACAGAGGTGCTCGTTGTCGTCGGAGCATCGGCCCTCGCCGCTGCATTTAAACCGCCCGCAGTCGTCGCTTTCGTGCGGCGTGCGTCTTTGTCTCGACTGATTTTACTGCCGAAGTTAAGCATTTTGAAGACCTCGACGCTCAACGTTTGAGACATCGTGAGGTGCGCGGCGGCGGGCTCGGGTTCCGCAGGCGCGTCCTGCAGATCTATCGACGACCACTTCTCCGGTCGCGTATCAGCGCCGGCAGCATTCGTGCGAGACGATGCATTTGCTCTGCCGACGCTTGGTAGCGTGACTGATTTGCCGTGTACAAACGTCAGCTCGTTACTGTTGCTGTCAACTTCCAGATTCCTCGGCAAAGTAACGACGCTATGTGACTTGGAAGTGGTTGCTACGCTCTCCTCGTCGGAAATCGAAACTAAAATAGCCATATATAGTCATAATAAAACGTCAGACCTGAAGAAGTCTATCGGTGAGATAGACTAAAATTTCGTCAGTGTAAGTTCTTATAACTTTATTATGGATCTAAATCAGATTAACTTTATTTTCCTGGAAACTAAAATAACACGAAGAGGTTAGTATGATAGAACGTACGTAACGGCTAATTTTTTTAATGGTAAAGTTAAACGAATTAATGGAGAATATAACGTTTCAAATGGTTCTAGAAAAATTGAGAGTAATACCGGATTTCCTTCTATAATGTGATATCCTTTAATTGCGAGATTAGGTTCCAAATTATTGCAGATGCGACAATCGATATTTTGTGTTCGATAGAAGAAATAGATCAGTTCCCCCAAACAGTCGCGCCAGGACGACAGTCGACCAGGAGGTCTAATAATTTTGGATTTACCTCGTTAAAAATTAAACTAGGGCCAGATTGTGCATCTTTAAATTATGTGATGTCATAGATAAACCAATAGATATCCCTTATTTTGGTCATGCACCTGTTGGCACCTGGTACCATATCTATGACCCGCAATATGTTTTAACCAGTGTATTAATTAGTATTATTTCATAGCTTACCTATGTTGCTTCTCTGAAGCATTTTCTCTCTGATACACTCGTGAATGAAGATGTATTGCTCCTATCAAGTATAATCGTTACGTATTATACCATGTTTTATGGGCTTTGGGTAAAACGCGACATGGAATACCTGCTTTATATGCATTTTCATGTTTGGCACGCAAAGGCTAGAGTTGAATGCAAAACGTTATTGACTAGTAAACTAAAGGAAATGCGTATATCATAGCGCGATCGTATGAAAGCGTTAACAATGCGCAAATCCATCAACTTCTTTTTTTAAAGCGGTAGATGAAACTATGTCACTATGTCGTCAATAATCCTGTCGGCTTGCTAGAGATTATAACTTTGCCTGAGCGAGCGTTACGTCACATGCAATACCTCTGTCTGAACCATGCGTTGTCGATGAATGCGCAATTCCATGACGGTCTTGAACACGTCCAATGTCTTACTGTGTTCGGCGGTTGTCAAAAGTCGATCTATGGCTATGAATGCACCTGTTCTTCCAACCCCAGCACTGCAAAATACCGAAAGCATACAGTTATACCTCGCGTTACGTAAGTAATGCGTCCCAGAAAAATAACGTTCGCAACGCGAAAATCCATAACGTGAACCGCGTTTTCCTATTGACTGTCATTATATAATTGTAGATGCGTTTCTACGAAAGATCTTTAAGCTAAAATGTGACAGATTGACGGTTATTGCTGACTGATTGTTGCCCAACACATGGTACAAAGCTAATACTAGTACAAAGAACTTGTACGATTCAATATCTTCAAATTCGAAGTTTAGAATGCCAACGTTGGCGTTCTGTCAACGCTCCTCTCGTAGCATTAACATTAGTCGTAAGTGTTATCGTAGCATTAACATTAGCATTAACTTTACAATGTTTCTGACAACGGGCCCCATATCTATAACAGTTAGAGCTCACGTTATAACAACATTACGTGCCAGGGCGAGAGAGCTAACGCGTCTTTCTGTGGGCCACATAAATAACCCGAGGTACCGCGTAGCAGATTTCAGTTCGCCGGCGCGTAAAGCACAGAGTCAGGATGGCAGTGATGACGTGAGGACATAGATCTATCCGATTGAACCACCAAGTTTATCCATACTTTACGCTTCGCGCGTGCACTCAAACACGCGTGTAAACACACGCCAGAGTGAACCTGCTCTCTACTCAGCATTTACGCGCATATACCTGCTCTCAGTGTGTATAGATTTATACGCAGTCGTACGTATACAGGTGCGCATGCGTATAATATTATTTGCTCGTCTGCGTTAACGTACACGCATGCGTTCATGCGTTCATATTCGTATGCGTGTGTCCATGCACATGCGTTTATGAACGTGCGCTGTTAGTTAGATTGGTTAGTTATACTTCTCGAGTAATATCTGTTCGGTTCGCGTCGCAAGTTTTATCATTGATCATGTTCGGAATACGAAGGGTACAGTTTTATTCAGGCTTGGTTTACGTAGGAGAGCGTTATTTCTTACAGAGACTGGCGTTATTAGCTGTTATTATATGATGAGTAGTAGTACGCTGACTCTGTTTTGAGCGTACATTTTTAATAAAGCTTGCTTCTCACTGAATAACATGCTTTGCTTTGAATTCAACTAAAATGATTTTATTATACTACTATACTACTAGATATATCGGGTAACCAACTAGTAAATTATGGCAATACAACTGACTGTTATATACGAATGAAAGTCATTAAAATAAAGGTCAAGGATTTGTAAAAACATTATACTAGCTCTTGATAATATTTATGGTGTTCCTGTCTCCAAGAAATACACAGATTATAAAAATAATCACAGGCGACGCGACTGCAAATTGTTTTTAATAGACCATTCCCTGACGCAATACTTCTTTTTCCCCGACGAGAGGCTGTCCACCTCCTGCTCTCTTGTTTTCGTTATCTGTATGATTGTCGAGGACGGATGTTTCATGCACTAACCAGGATGTGACAGATTTTATCATGTTGGTTGCCGTTTATGGCGGCCCTTCTCATTGTAAACTCTCTGCAGCAGCTGAAGTCGTTGTAAATAATCAAAGATTACCCACGCGACGTCTTGTCATCTGACTGCATATTTATATCATGCACATGCGTTTCGTTTACTGCGATTTTACGGCGTTTTGCGTGCACGCCACTTTTTTTACCATAAACGCCCACGAATTATTTTGAAAATATTACATGAGAGTAAACTTTCGTTTCGTACCGCGAGTAAAGAGGTCATAATTTGCAAATTACGGACATGCGAATTTACATAACCCGGGTCGTCGTAACGCGGGGATATTACTGTACACACATCAACCTAATACATGCAATTTTGCATGGAGTCTCTCTATCAGACAGGCACATGCGTATGGACACGCACGCGTAGTCTATATTATATTTCACGCACGCGAGCACGCACATACTCCCGCACGAAAACTGATACACACGCACGCGCGCCCTGACCTATTTGCCCCACTTCACCAAATATAATTACGTGTAATCATGATCCGCGTGAAGAGCTAACCACAGGGTAAATCGTATCTCCGCCGCTAGCCATTGGGTGACAATTTAGCACGTACATGCTAGAGACTTCCGTGAATCGGCAATGATACACCCAGTAGTTGCTCTCAAATCGACGACGTGCATGCGAATTCCCAATAAACGCCAAACTAACGCTTGTGTTGTCCTTGGCGACGAGAGTAGCTCTCTGGGTTCAATGGTTGTTTGTGTAACGTACGTAATTCTACGTAACGTACGTAGTAAACGTACGTAACCTACTACGCAAATCATCGCCCCTACTATGTATAGTATTTGGTTAAACGTTACTGTGTGACACGGGGTTATCAGAACGTCGGGATGTTCGGTAAATATCTGTCATCATTCTGAGCATAGCTGAGAAAAATAGCAGTGATCATTGTAGGTCATACAACGTCAATTCTACACGATCGATCTACTGGCGAATGACAAGTTAATCTACCTGTATGGCCCTGCCCATGACTATATATATATTCAGTGCTGGGACAAAGGGCTACCTTGGAAAAGCTGGCTATAACGACTGACCTGCCATGTACGAGTACGGGCTTCTGTCTCTCCGCATCACTGAGCGCTGACACGCGTATCTGCTGCAGCTCATCGACGAGGGCCAGCACGCTGTCGGGGCAGGCTGGCTTCGTCAGCTCTTCCCAGCTCAGCAGCTGTAGGCTGTGCACCATGTGCACGTGTGACTCATCAGCCTCCTGTGACTCCTGAAGCCAGCCGAAAGAAGTGAAGAGGAAGCAAGTAAGGAAGGAAAGAGTGGCAACAACGGTCACCGACAGCCATATTTGTATATACGGCCTCATATGAAAATTAGACTATTCAGGACCGAAACTATCTAGAAAGTTGCCCAAATTAAAAACCTTTTCCATCTGGAAGACTCTGGTGATGATTGATTTGTTTGTCTGCTTCTCCGACACAAGGCTAACCTGGAAGCCGCCCATGTTTTCTTCCACACCTTCCTCCGGCCAGTACCGCTCACATTTTTTCTACGAATACGAAGTATGTTAGAATATTGACTATTTGAATATATAAATCTATTTGAATTGGAATCTAATCTATATATATATAAATCTATTTGAATTTGAATATATCGCGATGCTCTGACAAAGCTTTTAAGTTTTATAAAAGTAAGTCAACCACTTTACGCGTGAGTGGATCTGCTAAGTCAAGACTTGTCGGTCTCTAAGTATAAGCAACAGAAATTCTTTGCAAATGCGCTTCGGTACAGTTGATATTAACGTTATAGCCAACGTTACCAGCAAGTATTATAAGGCTGAATGTTGCGCAGTTGCTATGATGCAAGCAGCTCTAGAACTATAGCCCTGTGGCGGAGCGAAGGGCTATAGTTCTAGAGCTATGATGCAAGCAGCTCTAGAACTATAGCCCTGTGGCGGAGCGAAGGGCTATAGTTCTAGAGCTATGATGCAAGCAGCTCTGGAACTATAGCCCTGTGGCGGAGCGAGGGGGCTATAGTTCTAGAGCTATGATGCAAGCAGCGTCGTGTCTGCATCTTACCCAGCCGTCCTCCTCCACCCGAGTCAACATGACGATGACAGCTATCTGCTGCTCCCAGATGAGTCGCCAGAAGTCATTCACTGTATTCTCGAGGGGCCCCTGAGCAGCCACATACTCACATCCGGACTCACAGCCCTAACCGGAGACATCGTGTGCTATACTATACACGTATACGTAGTACGTGTACGATATGTAGTTTAGTTCTAGTAATCTGGACTACGTTACACTATTAACAGTTATATAGAATCTATGCGTCTATGACCCTGAACAGACTCTCAACAGACTCGCATGAGCAATCGTTATTATTATCTTTACTGAGTATCGTAAGGGGAAACAATTTCATGATGTTTCTTTGCAACTCACAGGAATGAAGCTGGCATTGATGTAGTCGGAACCTGGTTCAGTGGTTAGTGGAATCAGTTGCACTCTTGAATTGTCAACTACAATGAGAAAATATTGCACGCATGGCCTCGCTGTAACGTTCCCCTACATACGCAAGCGCACATACTCACACACACACGCCCCCCCCCCACACACATGCATACATACACACACGCCCCCCACACATACACACACACACACCCACGCATGCACGCACGCCCCCCCACACGCACATACACGTGCTAAAACGTGTTATAAACCTTCCTAAAGCTCAGCCTGGGGAATTGAGCTAAACCTCTCGCTATTGAACTTTATTGTGGATTGAGGCTCGAACAAAGGCTGCCTATTTGATTTGTAAATGTCGCACCCATTTATGTCCGGTAACGTTAGTGGGACTCGTACCTGCGCCCACAATGCGCAAAGCAAGCGCTTAAAACTAGCATAGCAGTTTGCTTAGTCAATGTCGAATTATTATTCGCATACTAGGGGGGTCACTGCGTGTCAAAAGATCATATACACTTTATTGTGTAACCCTACAAAAAAAATGTCTTGCTAAGACGCTTCTCATTCTGGTTAAAAGGTCAAAACCCAGCTCAGGCTGTAATTTTCTTTTTCTAGAATGTCGAGTTTTTACGCATAGTAAAACGAAAATTGGAGGACCCCTGTCTGTGTGCATTTATTTTTAGGCGGATGTCTCTAAAACCGTCTGTATACGGCTTGTGAGATGTTAGTACGAACAGTGACATACAATCTATCTAACTATAAACAAGCGTTTAGGTATCTAGTCAACATGATGTACGCAACAGAACGGCAGCCTAAATCTCAAAGGCACTCTAACGAAAATAACTTCGACGAATAACTATAACGAAAAGCAGATGATAACCTGATACAACATATATTTGAAGATGTATGTCATATTAAAATATAATATTGCGCTATGCTTGAGCATACGTACATGGCAGACCAATGTGTTGGTATCTATTCTTCGGTTTGTTAATATTGAGCTCAGCCACTTGAGTTGGGAAGAGAGGGCTCACGTCTTGTACCTCCTTTGATAAAAAAGATTGACTAGTGTCAGTATAAAATGCGTACGTGTTCTTGGCTACATTTACTTAATCATTATACTATTAATTAATGTAAAATAAAACAGCTATAATTTGAGCTGCTTCGGGCTTTTCGAACGTCGAAATTGAAATATAAATTCAACATTAAACATCATCTAACCTTAAACTGGGCGCTGAAGCCACCTTTATTGTCCTTTCTCATCTGTAAGACGTATGCAGGGAAATGGGCCACCGGGACCGTGCTGGAATGTAAAGATGTCCGCACTTGACAACTGGTTAAACCACGCTGACTGCGACTTACATATTATACAAAGGCCGTGGATAATTACAAAGGAAGTGAACTCAGCATTTAGGTGGCACGGAGTAGGCCAGCGTGGAATTAACGACTAAACGTCAATGTATTGCCTAGAACCTTTTGAATCTAATACGCGATTTCCCTACTATACAAATACGTTACTGCATACTATGTTACGCTGTGAGACGATGCAATATATGAAGCAATACTAGGTCAAAAAATAAAGATATTTAGCGAGGTCTTTATATAACCGAGAGGAAGAAATAGCATTATGTCCATAACAAGAACTACTTTTTGAGCGAGCTTATGTCAGATCGGCCATCACGCAAAGAGAGAGGGGGGCCCGCGTTCCGAAATAATACGTGCTCTATGACAGACATAGGCGTGTCAATAGACGGCTCCTCGCGCAACGTTTGAGGAGTCTCTAGTTACTATAGGTATAATAAAGTAGAGGCGTCTGAGGAAGTACGGCGATTTACCTTCCGCGCCAGATCCTCGTTGATGCACCTCCGCGCCACCGAAGAATGTTTCGCGTAGTACGCCCAAATGTTAGCCTGCAACATACAAAGATAAATTTATAACAATCGGCATACAGCGCCAGTGCTGCACACCACTTACCACACGGAATATGTTTGCATTTTAAAAGAGAACTACAACGAGCTAGTATAGTGCGCCTGTGCCTTGTCAACCCTGCGAATGAAGAGCAATAATTACTCATGCCTTTTCTAGCTCCTTTACCTGTCAACGTTTATTCTATTGTTCTTATCTGCGTTAATTGTTATTGTAATGAAACATGGTCAACATTAACCCTACGTCTACGGTGTTTCTAATGGAGAGTAACCTGACTGTCAGATGAGCAACAGTCGTAGACGGTGCTCGCAATGCGTTGATTAGTATAGTGTATCTTCAGATGCTGTGAAACACGTGAACGTTGATAATCAGCCGCAACATCGCGAGAATTTGATGTGGGACAAGCACCGACAGTGCACCAGAACTTACTTTCCTTCCGCTCTATCCTTGAAGTAGGCATAGATTAAAAGAGCAGTCATTCCGAACACGAAGATGATGGCTACTGCGACGATGAAAACCACAGCCCAGGGTTCAAGTCCAGGCGGGTCGCGAGCATCTGTTTATAGAACGCCTATTGCTATGATCACTTAGATAGTCTGGGATTATAAATGATCAAAGATTATATATTCGTAAGCATATAACCTGGTTTCCTAATAGAAAATACTCATGTATGCGATTCTTACAATCACTGTCACCGCCGAGCGCGCAGCTAGGGTTTTTATGTACGGAAGCATTTTGCTACATTACTATGAGTATATGCTAATTAATATGTAAAGTCATGCTAAACCTGCAGTTGTAGTTCGATCATGGTTTTTCCCACCCAATGTCGTCTCCGGCTTGCCTACGTTATTTGTCCATACAAGCTGCTCCGTTATCTGAGCCAAGCAAACGGCAACGCTGCACAATAGAAGCACCACTCGAAAGGATCCCGGTGGGTCCATCTTGTACATATATATGCGCGCGTGTGTGTGTATGAGAGGGAACCTGTCAATGCAACAATATGGAGGTATTAACAATATGGATTTTGGACGAACACTGCTTACAATATAATTTCAGTACAAACAGCCGAAACAGTTGTCCCAGGTGAGAGTTTCTACGATTGATGTGGAAATTATAGTTAACGAGGGCAACCAAATAAATCCAATGCAAAAACCTATATATATATATATATACATACATATATATATATATATATATATATATATATATATATTATATATATATATATATGCGCGCGCGATTTATATATCAGTACATAGTGCGCGGCGTCGCGCGCGTGCTGGTGTGCTGTGTGTGTGTGGGTGTGTGGTTGTGTGCACCGCGCGCGCGTCGGCGCGCGTGTGTGTGTGTGCGTGTTCTCAGTGTGTGGGTGTTGTGTCTGTGCCGTGTGATCGTGTGTTGTATGTGTGTGTTGTGTTGTGTGCTGTGGTGTGCCGTGTGCGTGTGCGTGGTGCGTGGTGCGTGTTGTGTGATGTGGTTGTGTGTGTGTGTGTGTGTGTGGTGTGTCTTGTGTGTGTGTGTGTGTGTGGGTGTGTTGTGTGTGGTGTGTGGTGAGTGGTGTTGTGGTGTTGTGTGTTATGTGTTGTGGTGTCTACTGTGTGTGTGT